GAAATATTATTTGCTTGATATTTTATTGAACAGCGACCCCTTTTAAAATGTAAATCAAATTTAAAAGTGAATTTATTAATACTATCATTAACTTTAAAAGAATTACCATGGCTGAAAGATCATTATAAGCATACACGTTACTAAAAATGAAAACTACTTGTATATTTCTACAACTTGTCCTACATATAACTTTCGAATGACAAACATTCATTCCTAATAAAATGCTGACAAAAGTTGACATCATCTACTTCCTTACTATGATGTCAGGCACACAGTGCTTGATAAATGTAAATGATTCTCATTACACATCTATAAATTTGATATCCAGAATGCAGTTGTGTATGTGGAATGAACAGATCATAAGGTATGAACTCTGGATATTGTTGGTGGATTCTGCCAATCACAATCCTCTGTCTGCCATATCTGGACTCAACTTTAGAATGCTTCTCAGTGCTGTTCCAGGTACCAGTCAGCTGACAGTGGCATAGACCACAGGACATCTACAGCTTAAAGTAGATCTCACCTGGGATAAAACATCTGCAGGAATAACCCTACAAGCACTTTATCAGAAATGACCTGAAAAGGGAAGTTGGCTCGTCAAAGAAGAGCAAATGCAAATGAAAAAACAAAGCATTAATTTTCAAGTATATGTCGTTAACCTTTGGGGTCATACTGATTATGACTTTCTGGTCTCTTTCCTCTCATGATCTAGAACATCCCCATTACACCACCTTTCTGTTCCACCTCTGCCAAAACTATGCAGTGTTTTCACTAAAGCAAAGCAATTTGGTAGGAAAAAGTTTCTACTGGGCAAATGTTCTGATTAATTTGAAAGTGTTGGTACTTGGGAGTAGATGCTACTTGAAAGGTCCAAGTGCAAGACATCTTGATGATTAAAAGTTGTATAAATATTTTGTCTGATAAAGGAGGTTTGGAAGAATGGAACAATCATGGAGTAGCAATAAGTATTTCTTCCACTTGGCTCAAGGTCTAGTCCAGGAGATTAGAGAAAGCCTTAGTGAATTAGGCTGAATCATAAAAGGAGCCTTGGCTTTCAGTCAGAGTTGTTCAACAGGTTTAGGTTCTTTGGGAGCCACGGATGTATAAGAAAATGGGCAAGGGCCGGCGTTTAAATGCTATTTCTTTGGCTGTTGTATTTCTCTGACCAAGACATTGAATTTCTCCAAGCTTATTAAAAATCGAGAAGACCCCAAGCTATTTGTAGGGTTATGTGAGAACTAACTGGGGCAAGCTACTTAGTAGAAAAAGGCTTAGAGCATTAGATCCTGTTCAATAGATGTCACCGCTCTAGGCAGATCTGTGTGCATTTTAGTTTGTTAGAAAAATACAGAGAATCCGTAAAGAACAAGGATTGAGCAGTTTCTGACATGGATGAAATAGAGGTTGTACCTGAGATTCGGCAGGTGACCTAAAGGAGGAGGCCTCAGGTCAGGATAGGCTGAGGGTTGGGGCTGGAAGGGCACGCCCTGTGCAAGCAGAGAAATGGCTCCAGCAGGACAGCCTCGTGGCCTGTGCACACCTGACCTGGTTTTCCGTGGAAACCAGAAATCCGAAATGGTAAAGCTTATCTCACAACTGCTTAAATCTTGGTGCATGATAAAGCAAACAAATTGATATTTACTGGAGACTCAGAAGATCCCAGACAGCTTGTGTCAACTGTGTTCACTAGAGAAACAGATATGTTGCAGGATCTACAGGTATATGAGGATTTACCAGATTGGCTTGCAATGACCACCCGGAGTCAGATGCAGAGGAGGGCGGAGAGTCCGTTTGCACACTGATCAAAGGATTCTCATTTTCAGATTTTCTTATGTTCGCTTCTCTTCCCTCTTCTCTCTCTCGTAGCTGTGAATGCTGAGTTTCTAGAATCTATAACATCCCAGGGGCTGTGAACACAAGTAGGACCCAAATCCTGACTTCTAAATGCTATTTTGTACTGGAACAAACTAGAATCTCTTGAAAAAACAGAAGATTCTTAGACTGGGATACTGAAGTACATGGTTGTAGGAACGTCTTCTTGTTACACGAAGTAAGAGCATATTAAAAAATGTGGACAACATGCCAAGAAAATACAGGAACATATTCAAACAAAAGTTTCCTCTGGCCAAATCTGGACAATGTGAACATATATAATGTGAAACATATACAATGTGAAAATATATAAAAGTGAAAGATTATAACCCACTGGGAAACATACACACCCAATGAGCTCATACTAATATAGCTTAATTAGGAAGAGGAAAAAAAACTTTCTGGCAGAATGTCAACTAGTAAAATACAAGGATTGATGGAATTCAATAAATGATGGTTCAGCAATCTTATCTGAAACACATAGACGTGTCAAATAGCATGAATAACAGTGTGCTTGGAGCTCTGGGTTGATGGGGAAATGACATTTTAATTGAGCTGATTGAATTTCCTTTAGATTAAAAGTCAATCTTTCCTAGTCTTCTAAGGTCCATTCTATGGATAGGTAAAATTGGTTGTTCAGGTATACCTAGATGCTGTCTCCCAGTTTTATAAAATTATGTTTTATTTTTTGGGTCTTTAGTCTTGACATACAAATTCTCACACTTGTGTGTTTCACATCGAGCACTGAACTCTTTATTTGAACTCTTTTGATCTTCATGAGCACACTTGTACACGAGGTATATTAGCCTACCTTTAAGAGCCGAACTTAATCGAGTTAATGAAATTCTTCATGTCATACAGGTAGGAAGTTTCTTGAGGATAGGGACCCAGATGAGGTGACTAATTCTAAAACCTGCCGTTTCCCAGCTACATCAGCGTGGAGTTCACAGAGCGTGGACCTTACAGTGTTTCATTAGAGCACAGGAACAGGGAGGATTCGGGTTTAAAGGTCAACCAAGCAATGACAGATTTCTTACAGTTCCAAGGCCTCTCTCACACTTCCATTATCTGTAGGGTGCACGGTCAGACACCTCATTACTCCTCACTGACCGCGCCTCCTCCTGTGTTGGAAGAGGATTCTGCTCCACTGCTCAGTAGCCATGGGAGGAAGGTGGCTTAGGTTTGCGGACCATGACAGGAAAGCACACATCCGGGGCCCTGTCCAGGAGAAACGGGCAGGAGCTGGAGCCCGCTCCCTCTCTCGCTCTGCTTTGGTGTGGTTGCCGTCACCTGCACCGCATTCTCCCGCTGCTCCAAATACCAGTGGTTGCATGCTTGGGTGAGAAGCCCAGAGAATGCATCTTCTCTCCCCCAGCCACCCAGCAGCAGTTTCCCTGTGAATCCCTTACTACTAACTCTGCAGAGGAGCAGTGACACAGGTCACTTGATCTTACTTCTCCCCTTCGCCCCTTCTCTCCTTTTTTCTGTCCCTTTTGTTTCATCTCACTTATTCAAAAGAATTATCTGAAATCACAAAGTTAAATGGACTGCATTCCTCACATATCACAGCAAACTGATTTCTTTGAACATCCAGGGGATTTCGCTCCAGCCTTCCTGGGGCTGGAGAATGTATGATAATCAGCTGCATGCCAGGAAGAGCCTGTATTATTGCTGAAGAGCACAGTAGCTCTGAGCTACTAAGCCTGTACCCCGTGACCAGCACTGCAAATCCACTGATTTAACTTGGCACGGGTCCTAATTCAGCCGCATATCATCGGGGTGACTGGGGAAACTTGCCTAGCTTTATTGGCCGTCCTAAATGTTTGTCACAAACATTACCAAGAAGAACAAAGGAAGGAGGGCTGTGTAATGAGTTCTTGTTGCGAGCTGCAAGCTAGGGATCAAGGGCACAGTAGCAAATCCCACATCACATCTGCCACTGCACCTTACGTTCTGGGGGAGGGAGAGGCGGAGGGAGGGCAGGTGTCACACCGAGGATTCACACAGGCGCACATACACTGGTGGGCACTGAGTGAGGGGCTCATGTCAGTAGCATCAGGGACTGGATCCCCACCCCTCGCTGGAATCCTGTTTGGTGATCCAAGCAGATTATGGGTCTTCTCTTTGTCTGTTTCCACAGGTGTCAAATGAGAAGAATTATCATACCCATTGCAGAGTGGTGGGAGAGCCCCCCAATTCTTAAGCAGCAAAGTGCTGGAAAGCGTCAGGGCCCCCGGAACAGTCTACGGTGTTAGTTATTAGCATCAGCCTGGTTAGGGCCACGCTGACGGCATCCCCCACCCGGGGGAGCCCATAGAGGAGGCTGGGGGCGCACGGGGCGCACCCTGTCCTGCTGCTTCCCCACCTGCCCCTCCACCTTGGCTGCTGCAGGCAGGTGGAGCCCAGGCTGCAGGGCGGTGGCAGCCTGGGTCCTAGCCACAGTGGCACCCCACAGCTCCCCAGATCCCACTGAGGCCAGCACTCCACCCCATCACGTCCTCATTCAGCAGCCTGCCCTCCCCACCGCCTGGCAGGGCTCTCCAGGAGTCACAGCCTCCAGGGGTCCTGGTCCCGGGTCGGCCTCTGCGCAACGCGGGTCACCCAGAAAGCCTTGGTCCAGGAGGTCAGAGCGGGGTGCCACACCCGGGTGACCGCACAGCAGGCGGGTCGGGGAGGGAGAGCCGAGGCGAGGCTAAGGCGCTGGAGGCACAGAGCAGGCGGCAGGAGCCAGCGTGGTGGAGCCCAGCGGCAACGGTGCGGAGCGGAGTCTGGGGTGGGGGTGGGGCGTGACAGGCGTGGAAGTGGGGTGTGCAGACGAGCGCGTGCGTGTTAGAGTAGGGGGAAGGGGTGGGCAGGGGTGGGGGGTGAGGGGACAGTGAGCCCAGCCGTGGTGTGTGTGTGTGTGTGTGTGTCAGTATTAATTTGATCTGGAAATAGCTGAGCCTCTGAAATTGGAAAATTATTTTGTGATTCAAAGGATCGTCTTTCAGGGAAACTTCCGTTAAGTCTACATTGTTTTGAAAGATAGATTTGTGATATTTTGACACAATAAACGCAACAGAGGGAAAAAAATCTCTTATGTTTTAAAAAAAATACTTTTATTTTTACTTTCAAAAGTTTAAAGGATTCCAACAAAATCTGCAACATTTGGATTTAAAATTCTAAATATAATTTCATAGCAGAGAGAAAGCATATTCTTATTTTAATAAATTTATATGTTCCTTCAAATATAAAAATGCAGATGGGCAATTCCAAAATAGTCTAAAAATATAGCCTAAAGATGGGAATATTGTAAAAATACAGAAATATACAGTATGTTTAAGGAAAAGCAGTAATAAAAATATGCAAAAAAGCCACATGTAAACAATTTTAGTGTTGCCTAAGTCTCTATGCATCTTGCATTTATGAAACCACATTTTCTTAGATTTTATATGACATAACAAATGTTATGCAGTCATTAACAAATATGTAATTTTCTGTTCTCCATATAATGGATGGGAAAGTTAGGAAACAGAAAATAGTTTTCTTAAAATCACTATAAATATTTTTAAATTGTGACAATATCAGAACATTTCCCAGCACCAGAGATCCTAAGTTTATATAAAAAGTGACAGTCACAAATTACCATTGGGACACACACACACACACAAACACACATGCACGCACACACACATGTGCCTGTGTACACAGCCTCACCCATTCACATTCTAATACCACAGAGGAAACAGTAATGGGAAAAAATTTCTGGGTACTTTGATCAACTTGAGTCAAATCATTAAGCTATTCTTACAGGGGAACTTCTGACTTCATTAAATTACTTCTTAAAATAGAGCTCTTTCCCAATGTCTCAATAATATCTCCACTGAAACGCATGAAAAATAGTTCTATGAGGACCTGAGGACCTTAACCAACATTTAGCCTTGATTCTATTATTAGGCAGGTTATTTCCCCTAATGTCCCAGTAAACAGAGTAAAGTAAACAGATCGTCATTTTTATCTGTATCAGGACTTTTGCTGTGAAATGTAAACATGCTTCTGAGTTACAGATATCACAGTGAGGTCGGAAGGCAGGTGCAGGAACGTTCGGTGACCTTTACCCTGAGTGCTCTTTCTGTGTGTTGCATGCTGTAGTTTGCTTTCCAACAATGCAGAAGCCACAGCCTCTGGTAGGAAGTTAAAGATCACTGCTCTTGATTTTGGGAAAAAAAGTCTGGAAAATAAAGTACACCCCAGTTACACACCAAAGAACAAATGCGGCCAGCTCCGGTCCATCTGTGGGGTGTGCAGAAGCCCCCACGCTCACCTGAGGACCTCATCTCCGGTGAAAGGCTATGGGCAGCTCCCGGCTGGGCACCAGGATACCCAGGTGCAGCATCTCAACCGGCTGGTTGTCTGTGGCCACGATGTTGTATCTGCGGACAACCTGGAACCCGGTACACAGAAAGGAGGAGTGAGTTAGCGCCGGATCCTCCTGCCTGCGGGACAGCACAGAGCACAACTGCGGACACCAGGGTGGACTTTACCCAGCAAACGGCCAAGTGCAGCTGGAGCTCGGCTAAGCGCCGACCGATACACATTCTTTTCCCAATGCCAAATGGAAGGTGAGCAAAGGGGTTTATCTTTTTCTTCGTTTGAAGCCAACGTTCAGGTCTAAACTGACCAGAGTCTTCAAAATTGTCTTCGTCAGACCCCAGTACGTAAGTATTTAGCATCAACACTGTCTAAAAACCATACAGAAACATGGCATTTAAAATAACCAGAAGAGAACATTTGAATGGCAAAATTTGCAAAGTTGGTTATCTTGCAAATGTAAAAATGAGTCACAAATTCATAGTAACAATGATAATTTTGAGTGCTTAAAATATGCCAGGTAATAAACAGGCATAGAACTTTAAAACTTTGCAATCCATTTTCGTATCACCCTCTTGTGGGGGGGGGAAATCCTTTTAGTCTCCCCATTTCCCAGATGGGAAAGTTGAGGCTCATGGACTTTATATAACTCACTCAAGACACACAGGTAAAAGGGTACTGAACCCAGGTCTCTGTCTCCACAGCCATTGTTCTTAGTTCTATTCTAAGTAAAGTGTCAATTACCCTTTCTGTGGGTTTCATAGGCAAATGCTCCCCTCATAAAAAGGTTCAGGGTGTCTGGTGGATATTCAAACAGTGCACCCTTCACAGTCTGGTAAGGTAGAGAAGAGACCAATCTACTTACCCCCTTTGGTAAGGCATATTCACCCAGAACTGTTGCCTTATCAAGAGTCCGAGTTGTAAATGGCACACTTGGGGTGAGCCTGGAAAACAGGATCAGGGGGAAGGGTGGCTGCAGACCAAGCTCTGTCTGCAGCGTCCATGAGCGTGCACGTGGGGTTCAGCAGGTAAATGGTGCTCGGCCTCAGACTCAGGGGGGAACATGACCGCAGCTCTCCATGAAGAGGAGTCTCTGTCGCTTTCTCCCAACACTTAACGTCTCTTATTTCCTTTGCTTGTCCGATCAGCTTGGCTAAAGAGTAGCCGATCATAGTGGTTTTCATCTTTTCCTGTCTCACCTTGAACCTGTTGGATCTGCGTTTCTCTCACGTACTCTTAATGAAATTAACACTATGACCTTCTCACCTAAAGATGCCAGCTTTCTTTTCAAGAAAGGATATATAAATAATTTCCAAAAGCTATTTCATGCCCGAGGCTCAGATAAAGATTGTGTAACGAAATGTTTCTCTTGTTTATCTCCTCTCCTCCAATCCTGCTCTGGTCTTCATTAGTCCTAAGAGGATCCATTACAGTAGCAGTGGTATTGGTTGAAAGGGAGGAGGACCCTGACTTCCCCAGATTGGACAGCATTTGTCTAAAGGTTTTGGGGAATGAGGGACAGAAATAAATGTGATCTCAAGGTCCTTCGCCCTCATTTGGTAAACGTTTCTAATGAATAGGGGAGCGGTCTGTGAATGGGGTGCTCTGTTCATCGTGGCTTAGACATCAACTCCTACCTCATGGACTCCTTCAGGCAAGCCTTTAAATACGGCATTTTCTTCAAGTCCTCCGCCTGTGGCATCTGATTCTCAGGCAGTACACTCTGAATTTCCTCAAGAAGTTTTTGTTGCACTTGGGGATTTCGGGATAAATTGTAGAGAATCCACATTAAGCTGTTGGCTGTCTGGAAGCCGAACAGACACAAACTTGAATGTTAGCAAAGTAAAAAGCTTCAAGCCTACTGGCCAAGAAGAAGGTGATGGCTGCCACCTTGCTCTGTGACATAGTAGTGACATTTTCTCGAGTGCTCTTATTTGCTGTACCTTAAACAGATCCAATATCTGAAGTCAGACTTACTATGCAGAACGGACCAAGTCAGGATAACTTACCACGTAAGTCAAGACAGAATTTTAAAAATAGTATTTTGCATCAAGAGACACTGAGACACCAGAAAATCTAGCTCAACACAGCTGTTGTTGACACAGAGACTAGCAGATCACCTGTGCCCGATGCCAGGCTGAGGTCGTGTGTTATTGTTGTATAGCACTGTGCGGAACCAGGGGAGGGTCCCTCTCTGTCTTCTGTAAAAACCCTTGTTTTTACTTTTCAAAGTTAAGGAGAAGGAAAAAAAAAATATGGGTGGAACAAGCCGTTATAACCTTGAGCTACCCCCCATCCACCAGAAGTAGTTGTTCGTGTTTGTTTTGAGGCTTTTGCTAATTGAAGCTAAATATTCTGCTGCAAATGATCATCACCTCCTCCTGCCTCAGACACCAAGACACTGTTGCTAAGTTCCAAGTGCCGCTCTCCCAAGAGAGCAAAGTGCAAGGGCATGCAGAGGCGACAGTTATTTATTATTTTTGGAAGACAATGCCTCCAGAGCAGGCTACTTTGTGTCAGGACTGTGGCCTCCGCTGCAAATAAACCATAGATGGTATTATTATGAGTCCCATTGACCAAACAGGAAGAGGGCGTAGCCACCAAATTAAAGACACTTTCAAATCTCTCTGATTCTCCAAAGGTGACTTTCAGAATAGCAATGGCTAAAAATGAGTATAAAATGCATATCTGTATCAGTGAGTCCCTGGCCACAAGCACGAGGTGAAGAACTGTGGCTTACACAGAGGCTGGGACCTCGAGGATGACCGCAGGGATGAAGTGTCCTGGCCTGACCTCCAGGGGGGAGATTCATCACCTCAGCTGGCCTTCTGCTTCTGTGCTCCTCGGCTCAGGTCATTCTCTACCCACCAGCCAGAGCCAGGCGTCTGGACACAGCTTGATCAAGACACTCTCCTGCTTACAGCCCCGGTGCCTTATGGAGCCTCCAAAGGCCCTGGCTAACCCTGCCCACTCGCTTCTGTAACCTGAGTTCTGATGCTCTTGCTGGATCTCACCCCATCTCCCTTTCTGCCCCACGGTCTGCTCTCCTGTGTGCTTTCCTCTCCCTAGTGTGCTCTTCCGGTAGGCTTTCCCCATGTCACTCTGTCTTTCCATCCGGTCACACCGATGGTGCTTTTCTGAGAGGGACACTTCCCTGCACCCCATTCCGTCTCTCTGTGCTTTCTGAAGTGATTGTATTGATTTGTGTATTGATTTGTTCCCATCATACAAATCTCACCGGGAGAAGACTTTGTCTCTGGCTTAGAGAGGTTTCTTAACAACCTGGAAGGGTCCTTGATACAGAGTAGGTATTCAGTGTTTCTGAATTAGTTTCATGTATCCAGTAAGTATTTAGTGGCTGATATCATGTGACACCTGTGCTAAACACAGCTGTGAGCCAAACAAGGTCACACGCCGGGGACTTGCACCTTCCTCACCCCGAGGAGCCTCTCAGGGCTTGCCATGTGATACGAAGGTCAGCACCTCGGCTGACTTTGTGCCTTTCCTGGTCTCCTGGAGTAAGAGGAGAACTGAGGAGGATGCAGCCCCGTGACATAGAAAATCCTACTTTTTCAGTAGGCAAGAAACACCCGAAGGGGAAACACAGGCCAGGAGATTAACTGTCTGCATGCTGCTTAGAGACTCTAAGGCGTATGGAATGTTGGGCCAGTGAAAAGTGTTAATATGCAACACTCCAGGGATAACTCAAAAAAATGAATGAAATGAACGATTAAACCTGCATATTCATAGTATGTGTTTGTGGCTGGAACAGCACTGCATTGGTATCTACTGATTGACCATGTTGGAGACAGAATCTTGATGTTTAAAATTAGCTGCTTCATTTCAATCAAAGTCAAGTTATCCCAAACTCATTGTATTTATAATTCTAAGCAGAAAAAAAAAAAATACTGGGCTGGAAGATGGCATTTCAGTGTTTTTCTAGGAAATATCACCAGCCACAGGTAGGACTTTTGGGGGTAACATGTGCAATGGCCTAAAATATATCTGATTTTAAAACATGTAAATTATTTTGCTCAGTTGTGGAACCTTAATGGCTTCCAATTCCTGCAGTCACATGCCTGGTCGTCGTCCAACACCGGCTGGATTCTAACACAGCTTGCTCACCTGGAGCACACGGAGTCTCCCACGTTACAGGTAAGCACAGAGGGCTGGGCCTCGCACTTCTAGATGGAGCCTTTTCAGTTTTACTGCTAACACTCAGTGCATCCAAGTGAATGATGACTTAAAATGCATCAGAAAAGCACAGCCCAGAATGCGCATCTAGCGCGCTAAGCCCCAGTGCAGACTCACAGTTTCTATGGCACCCAGCTGGATCTCCGTGATGGCAGCGTACAATTCTTTCTTGGAAAGCTGATTGTGGTCATAAATATCTCCAAGGAAATCCATGCCAGGCTGCTGAGAATATTTCTCTAATCGGCTATTAACGCAAGACTTGACTGTCAGAGAAAAGAGAGAGACAGAGGAGAAGTCAACAGAAAATTAAGATACAGAAAAGAAACAAATCAGACCAAAATCTTCCTGGCATTATCTAGAGAATCTTTTCGGGAGCATGGACACTTTGCTAAATAAGCCAACAAGGCCTTCTGGTTAAGCTGGCAAAGATTTGTCCCCATGCAGTAGGACAAGATTGCCTTCGTATGCAGACTCTGAGCCAGGGGTTGGAGCCGGGAAGTTTGCATTTCTAACGAGTCCCCCAGCCATGTGGTTGATGTGCCTCAGGGTCATCTTTTGAGTGGTAAGAGCAAAAGTGGGAGTGGGTTCACATTCAGAATCAGAACTTACTAAACACACATCCACTCACACACACATGGACACACACATGGACACATGTGTTCCATTAAAGTGCCCATGCATGTTGACAGTGGTAAAAATTCTAGCATTTATAAAGTACGTGCTAAGCAGTGTCCCCCTTACTTGTACCCATGGTAACTGCTGGATGTAACAGTGATGTTGATGGCGGTGATAATGGGGGTCACACACAGTAGGGCAGTCAGCACTTGAGCCCTGAAGCCCTCTGCCTGGCTTCTACCCTGACACCACTGCCTACCTGACAGACGGGCCACTGAACAGGAGAACAGGGAGGGCAGGAAAGGCGGCCACAGGCTGCTTGGGGCTGGCACTGTTGATCTCTGATTTTCAAGGCTGATTACTTTTTGGTTAGGTCTTATTTTTGGGATAACTAGGTAGCAGAAATAGCTCCAACCACTGAGATACTGCGGAAGGTCAGATATTTTGATTTTCTGAGAACAACTGCACTGAGGCAGGTGGTATTGTTATTATTCATCCAAGACAAGGTAACTAAAGATGAAACGGTGATTTCACACTGGGCCAAGCCACCAGGCACAGAGGACTCAGGGAGCTCTGACTCCGAGGTGCTCACTTTGACCACTTTTACAGTGCTGGGGACCTAGCTCCGTGGTAGATGAGTTGACTAAATGTGCAAGGCCCTGGGTTCCATCCGCAGTACCCTAAGAATTCTTAGCTACCATTTTTATTTCCAAAGAAGAGCACAGAAATCTGCTACCTGCCTTTCCTTAGAAATCATCTATGCTCCTACAGACAAAGCCTGAAGAAGTCAGAGGGAGCGGCCGGCTCAACAGTAAGATCAGGGTTCTAGACCATGAACCCCCTCCAGGCCTTCCCCGCAGCTCGGCCAGGCTGCTCTGATCGAGGGGCCGGCAGTACCTGAGTTGAAGATGGTGTCCCAGGCCAGGGTGTGCGCCTGCCAGACTCTGGTGTTGAGGCTCTTGTGCAGCTCGACCGGGGTGACCATCATCTTCCCAAAGGTACCCATCATCTGGGAGAGGAAAAGCGCCTTTTCAGCCCCAGAGCTGTCAGAGTCGGTGACCACCCTGCAGGAGGAGCTTCCAAACCACTGCTGAAGGCTGGATTTGGAGGACGCCTGGCCCCGCATGCAGGTCCCGGGAGCAAAGTCCTCCTCCTTCCCCCAGTGGAATAGTTAGTGTGTGGATGTGCTGGGACTTACGAGCTCATTGTGAACAAAAAAAAGGGGACCATGACTTCCCTACTCACTTTGATTTCTAGTAGTTTTCTAAGCCCTAGCATTTCTCAAATCAATTTAATAGTGTTTTCCATACCACACACCATTTAAACCATCCCGGGACTTATCATCTGAAAAATGTCATCAATTGACTCTTAACTGGAACATCCAAAAGAGGCATAAAATATAATTTTATTTTATTAAAGTACCCTTGCCTAACAAAGACACATGGATTTAACTTGCCTTGAAATATGTACAAATATGCACACACACATCAGAATGAATGAATGAACTATTGACATAAAATATGTGTGTGCCCAGCTTCTCGGAAGACACCATGAGTTGTGGTTGTTCAGATACCTAAAGCAATCTCAGGAAAACTGGGGTGAAGGGGCACTTACTGTTTTGATGGCTGTGATGAAGTTCAGGGATTCCTCGCTCACATTCTTCTGAAGGAGCCCGAATCTCTTCTCGTACAGTATGAGGCAGATACCTGTGATTTAAGATAATTATCCTGGTTACACAATGACAGCCATGCTGGCGTCTATGATTAACTGGCTATTAAAGACTTCTGCACCTTGTGAAAGTGTGGTTTTTTTATAGACAAAAAAAGAAAAGAAAAGAAGTCCAAGAACATTAAGGAAAGGCAAACAGCCTGAAAGGAAGGGATGTGGACATTCTCCTCTCTTTCTAGAAGTTATTTTCAGAAGCAGTGACCGGTCCCTAAGGATCCTCTCCTCACAGGCATGCTGTCCTTGGTCAAGTCCATCACACAAAAATCTAGGTCAAGAGTGCGGTTGGGTCAGACTCTGCCCTGCCTTTAGCTCAGCCATATTACTAGAGTTGTGTGTTGGATTCTGCTGCCGCACATGGCCAAGGGGACGTCCCCTTGCGAGGACGGGGCAGGGTGATCGTGCACTGACCATCCGCTGCTTGCCAGGCGCTCTATGAATGTTTCCCCCCACATAGCCACAACATTTTAAAACATAAAACGATCAACTTTCACCATAAAACTTTTTACCTACAGAAAAGTTGAAAGAATGGTAAAATAAATACTTGTGTCCTTTGAACTCGAACGCAGTAATGATTAATGCTTTGCTACGATTACTTGCTCTTTGGATGAATGCACACAGAGAAGGATGTGTGTGCTAAACCAGTGAGACACATCATTTTCAGCCCCTGTCACATTTTATATTAAATAATTCAGCAGTAAACTCCTAGGATGAAAGACATCCTCCTGCACAACCGTTACGCTTCGTAACTAACATCCCTGAGACTCTCATCATTTCCTAATATATCTACTACATTAAAAAATTTTCCCCTTGCCTTAAAAATTATCTTCTGTGACCATTTTCTTTCACAGTCCAGGATCACTGCAAACACTGTTTGATAAGCGAATACTTATCAAACTCTCTGCTTACGAACTCTCTGCTTATGAACTAGGGTACTGCAGGAAGATGGGGAATGACTGACTCAGCGATAGAAAGTGGGAAGCAAGAGCTGGTAACCTAGTCAGGGCCGCTCCGTGGCTTCTCCGATGACCTCCGCCCCCCAGCCCCACTCATTGTGGGCTGCCAGATCAGTACGCTAGGCACACATGCGATGGCTCTGGGAGGTCTGTGGGCTCTTCCATTTTTAAAACTTACTTATATTCCTGGTAATCTCCTTATGGCACTGATTTGGACTTTGAGTTGATGGAAATGTTAGACTTTTCCTCAAGGTAGAACACTGATTTAGAATACTTCAAAACTAAATAGACAGTGGTAGGCAGTCATGGAAAATACTATGTTGTATATATGCATGTATAAACTTTGCAAAATACCTATTCACCAGTTGATTATTGTTTTACAAAAGCATAGTAAAACTAAGATAATATTTTCTTATTTGTGAATATTGAGGTTTAGTAGCTATTTGGCCCCCATTGTAAAACACACCCAAAAGCACATTTTTTTCCTTAAACAGTGGATTGTGGTGCTATGGAAGCAGGGAGCTGGCCCACCTGCCTGCCAGTAAGTACAGGTAAAATGTTACCCCAAGTGATGTTTTTCCATTGTGGTGGATTTTGTGGGTGCACATTGCAAACTGAGTCCACAGAATTTCCCACAGCATTCTTCACCATGGACGAATCTCTCCCGGAATTTCTTGCTTCTGCGGGAGTTTGTCATTGGTGTCACGTGTGGCAGACATTGTTAACGCCCTACCTGAAGTTCAGTCTCCCTCATTCCTTCCCTACGAGAGCCCTGATTTTATTTGGGGTGCCTGTATCCATCCCCAGACAAGAGGTCAGGATTGACGTAGGACTGAGCCTCCAGCTCACAAGCTAAGGATACATAAGAAACGGCTGGAAAGGGCGCAGGGCCCTCGCGAGCCGGTGCCCGGGCAGCTGTGGCCTGCCTTCCTCCAGGGCTCTTAAACCATACGCTCATATATATATATATATTTTTTTGGGGGGGGGGCTGGCAACAAAATGCTTCTTCTCTTCCTTAATCTGAACACTTCCAGGGGACAATTTCCAAAGCACATACTTCTTTACTCCCTGATCATCATTCCCTCCTGCTCCTCCATATCTTCTGTGAAGTTCTTTCTTACTTTTGCTGGATCTTCTGTTTAACTCTAAGTGAGGATGATCTAATGGAGCCTGCATCTAGGGCAGCTCTGCCCGGCTTCTCTCCGCTACCAGCCACAGTGATCCAGTTCTTCTGACCATAGCAGCCCCTGCCAAACACACTCCACCAAAGCTCCCCGCTGCTCCAGGCTCAAATCCAAACTTCTGTCTCTAGCTCAAGAGCTGGCTGCTGGCCCCCTCTCACCCTCTCTCCTTCCCAAATCTGCTCCTATAGACCATGGTCCTGCAGTCTAGGGCTTCTCACTTTTTTAGCATCCAAACTTCTCAACTCTGGAACATTCCTTCTTGCCGCACTGACAACTCACTGTTCTGTCCCTACCAGCACTGTGTCTGGCATATCACAGGTGTCCAATAAATGTTTACTGAATGACTCCATAAACAATCTTAGTGCAAAAAACAACCTAAGTAACAAAATGAAGCATTGAGAAAAATGCATGTGGCCTTTTCTTAGTTGGGGTAGCATGCATCTTTCTGGAAACCTGTCAGTATGGTTGTCCTTTATCCCCCAAACCATTTGCAAAACCAAGTGCATGAGTTTGTGCAAACAGCTTACTTTCAAAAGACCATTTGTTCAGTTCGCTGTACAAGCCTTCAATGTGGCCTCTTCCATCCCGGAGCTCATCTATTCTATCCATAAAGTCAGCCAAGACCTTAAAAGAAAGCAACAGCAAAAGACACATTGTAACACCAAGAAAAGAAAACAAAAGTTTTCAGGAGTGAGCTAAGGTAAGGGCTTGTACATGTACCACCCTGAGTGTGACCCATTGCAAAGTAGGACTAATTGTACATTCTCCTTGGGAAGTCACCTTGTCCCCTCAAGACCTCATCCTGGGTGTTTTCCTGAGCTCTCCCTGCAGCCACCGTGAGGCTTAAGTTTCAGTTTTTGATCTAAAAGTGATTCTGGCAATTTAAGAAAACAAAAACATTTCTCTTGATCAGAATGGAGGGGAGATAAACCACAAGGAGGGACTGGCCAAGTTGAACAGGTGAAGGATGGTGACACTGTCTCTATCCTGAGGTTTCCATTTTCCTTCCAAATTTGGGTGAAAACACAGCATTTTGTTGATTAGTTGTTTTTGTTATGCATCTTGAACTTACAGACACATCTGCAAATTCTGTTGGGGAACTGGATCACTGAATCACTAGCTCTGTGATCCTGGGCAGTCCCCTACGTCCTTAGATGCTAGCAGCAACAACCAAAGTCCTGGATGGCTAAAGCTTCACACTGAGTGGGGTCAAAATCGCACTGGGCACTGCAAAGGGTAATATCTTCGCTGCTCCCCACAGCGGCCCCAGGAAGCAGTAGATACTGTTCTGGTTCCACTTTCCTACTTAAGAACTTAGAAAAACGAGGCTTAGAGAGGTTAAATCACTGACCCTTGGAAAGGGAGCTGATAAATTGCCATGTAGGACCCAAAGCCCGCACAGCTAACCAGTGTCTGGTTAGTTTGCACACGTAGTGCATTGGAGAAGTACTTTGAATTTGCTGTTAACAGATGAAGAGATTTCATGTGACATATGGATTTCTCACTACCTATCAAAGTAATGCTAACAGCGAGGTTATTACGAGGTGACCGAGCTGTGCATTCCTGTGTGGTAGGAGTTCTCTGGATCTGGGGCAGATGCTCCTTCGAGGAAGGGCACACACTAAAGTCCTTAGTGCGCTGGTCTTGCTAGTCTATGTTAATTATGTAGCCCTTAGAAGTGTCTAAGTTTGTAATCCCTCATCTGTGTGGGCTGAGACCAGCTCACAGTAAACATGCTACGTGAAAGAATAGGATGTGAGCACTACTTGCTTCAAACTACCTGTGGCTAAGGAGTATTTTCTGCACACTTTAGCATGGCACTAAACTTGCAAAGATCTCCTCTCTGTCCACATTCATTCCGGAGAAACCCTCACCCTAACTGCGCTGAACGTGGACTCTCTCAGCACATCGTGCCATTTCATGCCTATATATTTAGGTTGCTCTTCTCTCCTCCTGAATGCTTTTCCCCACATTGTGCTGTAGATGCCTGCTCATCCTGCTAAACCCAACTCAAAAGTTACTACTGAAGAACTTCACAGACATTTTTTATCCGATCTTGACAGCACACTGGTGGGATAAGAACTGGGCCCCCACTGTAAGACTGAAAATCCAAGGCTCAGGAAAGGCTGGTGGCACACTCAGACCCCTACGTGGTGGGTGGGAGGCTGAGTCTCAAATGCAAGATTGTGAAATAAGAAAGTCTGTGCTCATAACTGTTCCTTCATTGTAGTGTTACTTGAAAAGGGATTAAAGGAGACAGCAACAAGGTTTTGAGACAGAGTGATTGGAGACAGAGAAGACCCCTGGATCGTCGCATTATGTGGTTTTCCTTCTAGGGTTTAATGGTGTCACTTGGAAGGTCCACTAACATCCTGTGTCCTTGAGAGACCCCGGAAAGCTGACCCCAGTCTGCAAACCTCATTGATTTTGCTGTCCAGCTTCATAATTTCCACTGGTTTCATTAATTTCTTTTGAAAAACGCTCCGGACCCTCTGCCAGTCTTCTCCTTCCCTGGGGAGAAGAAGGATTATATTAAGAATAAAGGAAAAGAAGGGATGTGTTCAGCCGGAGAGCTTCATGGGCCAGAGAGCAAAGGAGCTCTGAGAACATTAGCATTAAGGTATTCAGGGCTGGGTTGTTAACAGGACCCATGGAAAGCACTGTCCTCTTAACCTGGGATCCTGTGAGGAAGATGAGGCCCATATTAAGTGGGTTCCTGGTTTTTGATGAGCTCTCTTGGGGGGTGGGTAGAGGCCTCAAATCCCAGCAAAGGAACAGGCAATTGGGGTTTGTTTGAGGACAAACTTTTTTTTCCCACTTACTGACTTGGGCATCACAGTTTTATTTTTAAAAACAACCCTCAAATGTGCAGTTTTCCCATTTACTGGTAACAATAACGTTCCGAGGGCAAGCGGGAGTCGCTGGTGCAGTGCAGCCCTTTCCTGGGCCCAGCCAGGTCTGTACCACTGCTCCGAACTGCACCGGCCCTGAGTAGGGGTTTGGTATCCGTCCTGCACGAGAAACCTTCGGCCTCAGGAAGCTCTTTCCCCCGCCCTTCCCGGTTTCCAAGCGGACCCTTCCACCCCTTGCCTGCAGCCTGGACTCACAGGATCATCAGCCCGTAGCCCTCCCCGCGGTAGTCGCGGTAGGCTTTCCACGGCTTGATCTCCAGCCGCTGCGGATAAGCGCTCTCGGTGCGGTACAGCCCTTCCAGCAGGCTCGGCGAGCCGAGGTGCACCGAGTCGAAGGAACCCAGTTTCATCCGGAATATCTCGCCGTACTTCTTGTGGTACTCCACCTGCGACGGGCAGGCACGCCGAGGAATCAGGGCGCATCCTTCGCAGGCTCAGGGGGCGCCTCTGCCAGTCCGCGGTCGCCCTGACTCCAGAGCGCACCGTGCGCCCTGCGCACCTCCGGGGTTGGGGTGGGAGTCTCAAGGCCACCCCGGGGGGCAGAGCGGGGGGATCCGGGAATCGGGGGTGTTTACCAGAATGTCGTGCTGCTTCTTCAGGCCTCCTTTCCAGAGAATCTGCAGCAGACTGCCCAGCAGTGGCCAGTTGGTGGGGCCGGGCAGGACCGCCGCATCGTGCGTCTCTCCAGGTGCCATGAACGGGCAGGGGGGCACCTCCCGCAGCGGAGGTGGCACCTGCGTCCTGGATGTCACAGGTCTCAGGGGCTGCTCAAGGCCACGCAGCTGCTGCAGGAAGGCTGCCAGCAAGCGGCTCTTGCTCAGAGGCGAGCTCATGGTAGCTGGGGGCGCGCGGAGGGGAAGGGCGCAGGGACTGGACAGCGCGAGGAAGGAGGCGCCTGATGCTAAGCGGCAAACAGGGTCAGCGGGTAGGACCAAGGGGACGCAGCAGGGGCCGAAAGAGGAGGTGGGTTTGGCAAGGATGCTCCACGAGGGTACAGGACGCAGCGGCCCCCGGGTGCGGCTGAGAGCCCTGTGCTGCCTGCGCTGCTGGGGCTGGGGTTTGGCAGCCCTTGTACGAGGGAAGGGCGGCCCAGCTCCTGGTCTGCACGCCTGGCTTCTCGAGCCCGGAGCCGCGGGGTGGCGATGGCTGAGAGAGGAGCAGAGATGCTGCAAAAGCCGGCGCTGCCGCGGGGCCGCCCCATGCTCTCCAGCGCGGGACCTCCTATTTATCCGGACGCACCCGGCTCCGGGCGGCCAATGAGCACCCAGGTGGCCAGGCCCCGAGGGACGCGGGACGCAGGGGCGGTGGAAAGGGGATGGAGTCAGCAAGGTGAGCGAGGGCGCCTGGGCCCCGGTGACCGCTGCGCGGGCGCTGAGAGCCGCGGACTCCACCCCGGAGATAACCCGAGGCGCAGCGCGGTTCACCGGGTTTGAGCGCGCGCCCCGCCCTCCCCGACGGCAGCGGCGGCCAGAGCTCGGCGGGCGCTTGCACAACCGCGACGCAGGCGGGCGAGGTCTGGGGGCGGCGGGGGGGGGGGGCGCCTCGAGATTTCCCAAAAATGCACCCGAAGAGGGGCGCTCACCTTCCGGAGGCACCGGAGTTTGTAGGATTTCCCGGCTGGCTGCTTCACGTGGGCTCTTGTGAGGATGCAGGTGGTGAACGAATGGAAATCGCCTGCACCGGGCTCGGGCCCACAGTCGGCCTCGGTGAAGAGTCCCGGTCGCCGTGGTTAGGAGACCCGGTTCGGCGAGCCTGGGGTACCAGCGCTGAAATTCCTGCAGGGCCCCCACCTGATCCCAACCACCTTGCTTCCCTGGCGCCTGACTGGGCAAATCCTTCCCTGTTATATCTCCTGTGAAGTTTGTTTCTTAAAAACTTTCGTAGTCCAAATGGAGCTTGAAAGCTATCATTTCAGATTTTTCCTTTGAAGTTAGTGAATATTTACACCAATAAAAATAATAGCCATCGATATGCACATATACAGGAAAAAAAGAAAAAAGTACTGAAATTCATTGCAAACAATGTATCTAAGGGTGTACCGTAGCTTAGCACACTTTTCTTTTTTCTTTCTTTCTTTCTTTCTTTTTTTTTTTTTTTTTTTGAGACAAGGTTTTGCTATGCAGTCCACACTGCGTTGAACTCACTTTGTAGCCCAGGCTGGCCTCGAACTCACAGTGATCCTCCTGCCTCAGCCTTCCAAGTACAGGGATTACAGGCATGTGTCACCATGCTCCATTTAATACAATTGTTTTCCATACACATTTTTATATTGTCTTTGGGCTATTTGTCTGGTTTTCAATCTGTATATATTATGATGCACTTTATAAGGTCTTACAAATAAATAAATTACTGCTGGAAACATAAAAGGGGGAGAAGGGAGATGGTAAAGAAGGGAATAGAAATGTGTTACGGAGGTGTGCTAGTCTCCCACAGTGAATGTAATCATTATGGGCTGTGACATACACTAATAAAAGTGGGAAACTATACATTGCATATTATATAGCATATACTATAGATTTACATACTTTAATATGTACTATTTATACACTATGTGGACTATAAACTATGCTTACGTACCATATGGTATATGGTATACAAATGAAAGCTTGCTGGGGCTTATGATACTCTTAGACACTGCATTAGATAATTTCTGTTTAAGACAGAGTCTTGCTGATTTGCTTAGTCTGACTTCAAACTCATAATCCTCTCCCTCAGCTTCCTCAGCAGCTGGGATTTCAGGTGCAAACCACTATGCATGGTTCAAGCTGGAACATTTACATCAGTGTTCCCATTTTGTTTGCACCCTAGCCCATTGTCAAAAACAGAAAGCAAAAGCCAACACAAAACTTCCTAATACTTAGAGTTAAGCAATCCCCCCAAAGCCTTATTCTTAATGGCCTGGAAGAGGTTCACAGGGACTCTTTTCTGACTCCAGCCTGAGCCCTTACCATAGACAACCATTTCACCGTGTTATCTTTGTATCATCTCTTCTAACCTGGAATATCTCAGAAGGTGGGAACTATTCCTAAGTGACAGTGTTTCCCAGAGCGGGTAGGGTAGGAGCACAGTGGCTACCTTAGCAGTATTTGGCGGTGGTGGGGCTTGGTATAAATATTTCATATGCCGATGAGGGTGCAGGAAAAATAGCCCGAACAAGAAGACTCACCGGCTTTGCCTCCGGGTGCCTTCCTTGTGCCTGGATGTAGTAAACGCTTCACGAATCCCGCTCTGATGGCCTGTGGCTCACTGGCATTCTAGTCAGTGAGTTCTCATTCCCACAACCTTTGTTTCTTTTCTCTCTCATCAGGATCAGATTAGCTAGGCTTAGGGCTGGGTCACTCTAGGTGTTCTAAGAAGATGCTCAAAGGTACCAATCAGGAGCCATAATAGCCAACAAGGAAATTCAGGGACACTGGTTTCCACGTGCAGCAGGGAAAGTCTTCAGTAACTTTTACACTAGGATGCAGAGGAAAATGTGACCAATTCAGTGGAAGTCCACTGACTCTTGACAAGGTGTGGCTAAGTTAAAAATGACTAGTTTGAGCCCAGCCCTGGAAACTCACCCTCCCTCGTGACGTGACCCCTGTGAGTTGTCTGGACAGGGGACCCTTCAAGGAATTCCTACTGAGAGGCCCCCCACGGGCCTCAAATCCCACCTCCACTCTCACTGTGGAGACAAGCCCACATCTGTGTTGTTCTGGGAAATCTCACCAGGTCCCCGGTAGTGGATGCTTACACACTCCAGCCCCATCCCACCGAGCAGCCACCGATGATACTTGTGAGTGTGTAATGAGGGTGTGTCTGTTGGAGGCCAAGTCTGATTTCTGTGCCCCGGGGATACCAGCCCTTTCAGAGATACAGAACAGACATAAAGTTTTATGCTTCTAACCTGAGTTAAACCAGAGCATAAGCCCGAGGGCTCCTTTTTGACGGTGGAAATTTGGAGGACTGATTTTGTAGCTGTTGAATTGACAGTATTCGAACACAACCCCTCAGAGTTGTGAAATAGCAAAGGCCACAAGCCAAGCTCAGGGCACTGCAATGGGGATCATGCAGGTAACGTCTGCACATGGGAAAGTGCCGGGGAGAATTACTTCACAGCATTCCTGAGCTGCAGGAATTGCTTTTTCAGATTACGCAGAAAGCGGACAACTTAGATGTCTCAATTATTACTCATGTGCTGAGCTGAATAGTTGTAATTTTGACCCAGGAAACTGTATAATTGAATAAAGTTGAAGCAGATTAGCAAAGGATATTGTGAGCTCAAATCCCAGCTCAGCCACACAGCAGCCAGTTACAGCAAGGCCAGTTTGGTATTTTTCTAAGTCTCAGTTACCTTCCTTCAAAAAGTTCAGCTAGAGCATGGTTTCTCTCATATGAGAAACACAAACAAAAAGCCTGGTAGGCGAGTGATAAATGTAAATGGGGGAGAAGTTCAAATACTTCTCCAAATTACAAGCTCCTTTGTTTTAAAAAACATTTCAATATATATGCTAATTGGTTTCTTCCCTACTAGTTTAACTTAATTCATTGGAAAGAAAGATTCTTGTTATTATCTGTTTCTTTTTCGCAGGAATTTTTTTAGTTTATGTCTTGCACTCTGAGTAACTACTTAGAGCATAATGATACACAGTAATAATATCTAGTTATCTTCTTTCTGTTCAATTATGAAATTTTCTTTTTTTCATAAAATAAACAAAAATTTACCAAGTGGAGATAATAGGAGCACCCATTCCATCGGAAGCACTGCGAGTCCCCAGCATGACGTCACAGCTGTACTGTTATTAAGAGCTGCGGAGACCGGGCTCTCAAATAATTAAGACATAATGGCTCTTGCATTTCCCATGGGCTCTCCACTCAATTAGACAAACCTCGTGGACATTATAGGCATCGTCTCCTTGTTTTCTGTTCCTCCCAGAACATATGACACCATGCTGTTTTTGTTGGCCAGCACCCAACGAACAAGTAATAGACGATTGATTATTGATTATTTATTTCTTCTTTCCCAAGTGAAAAGGAAGATACTGGTACTAACACTACGTAGGCGTTATTGGCAAATCCTGGAGGACTCCATTGGGTATCTCGTAGAAAGCGGTCCTACCAGACAGAAATTGCAGTGTGAGTCCGAACAGGTTGGGTTGAAACCTTAGCTTTGCTACTCAGGAACTGTGGTCTTGGGCAGGTTGCTTAGGGTTCTCTGAGCTTTGTTGCCTCGCTGGCAGCCCTGGAAGCTGAGCTAAGTGTCTCTACGTTGGATTTGTTCATAAGCCGTCGAAGGCCGTCTTACACAGAGCGCCTATGAAAGTTCACAACTGCAATGTTTGTAAATCGGGGACTTACTATACACCCATGATTTAAGAAAGGTGAGATGAATATTTAAACACAGCCAACGTCTTCACACAAACCCATCAAGCCTCTCTACTTGCTCGATGAATTCTGAGCAGAATTTGCTCACGCTGGCAAATTAATGTTTTATTATAATGTGGAAAAAAGTATCTTAAACCCTCCAGAATGCAGTCTATGGGGAGACTTTTCAGATTCTTCATTAAAAGAGCTGCTCCATTTTGCAGGAGGTGAAAAATGGAATGTGTGTATCCAGGTAACATCATGTTGCTGTCACTGCAAAGTTTTGATTTACAGTACCGAGGAACTATGTGTGTGTGAGACATCGCACTGTCTGTACCCTGACAACAATAGCGTGAAGTATTATCTTACACCTTGGATGACGGAATTTCACTTCTTTACACACTTTTAGCCAGACCTGGGTTTGAATCTACCCTGCAGCATATCACCACTGCGGCCACGTTAGCTTACCTTATCCTTGCTATAAAGTGGGAACAGTAATAGTGGCTGTTTTATATAATTGGATTAGTATAATTATAATAATATTGTAAGTTACTCTAACGTGATTAAATTCTAGTTGTTTTGGGGAGCTCACCTCCTTGGTGCAGGAGGGCTGCTCTTTCCTCTACTATGTTGCTAGTATCTGTACGTAGGCCCAAATCAACTAAATGCTCAGTACATATTTTGCCAATACAGTAATACATTGCACAAATAGCAGAGTAAATGCCTTTCTTGTTATAGCTGTACTTGTTTAATTGATTCTAAAGTTACAAGGAAATACAGTGCCTGATAAAAATCATGTCCAATTATAGTTCTTTTATAAAGAGAAATGATACCTTTGT